TTTCTGGAAACATGCATATAAATGGTTTTATAAAGATATAAAACTACATTATACTACTTCAGAGTACAACAATACTTATACATTTTCAGTCTTAAGGTGTTTAAGACTACAATTCACTTTAAAAGAAAATATTGGATTTTCTGGAAGAACAAACTATCATTTTCAAGGAATAATGGAATACCTTTTTCATACAAAATGCTTATGAACTCACCAACTTAAATGTTGACACTTTTTCAAAACCACTTGTATTCTCAGGAAATCAGTAAACAGGTACCCACACAGGTGTTGTGAAGACGGAGCGTAGCAGTGTCACGTCTTATATTTTATCGTATGTTTTTTTGTAGTCAAACAATGATTCGAATACAATGTAAAAACTTATAAATTATCAATATAGTGTTTGGAATGCTTTGATCTCTATTATTCAATTGTTATGATATTGTACATGAAAGTCATCCATCCCCAGATGTTTCCGCTGTTTTACTCGGTTTGGGGGTGTGACAGGCCTTCCCTGGATGACGCAAGATCTCGCAATCACAGTCCTTCAATACATCCAACCACCTCCTCTGCCACATGTTCAGGTTCTGCTGATCCATCAAATACTTCAAACTTTTCTGATCAATGAAGATGGTGCACTGAACTCCATACAAGTAGTGTCTCCAAATCTTGAGGGCGAACACTACTGCCCCCAATTCCAGGTTGTGAGTGGGGTAGTTCGCCTCGTGAGGCTTCAACTGCCTCGAAGCATACGCGATCACATGTCCTCTCTGCATCGGTACAACGCCTAACCCCGTGATAGAAGCATCACAATACACCACCAAATCATGTAATTTATCGGGTAGCGCGAAAATCGGGGCCTCACATAACCTCTGTCTCAAGTTCTCGAAAGCCAACTGCTGATCCGGGCCCTATCGAAATGTCACATTCTTCTTAGTCAATCGGGTCAAGGGCACCGCAATCTTGGAGAAATCCTGGATGAATCTCCGATAGTACCCCGCTAGACCCAAGAAGCTACGAATATCATATGCATTCTTCGGTAATTCCCATCGCATCATTGCCTCAACCTTGGCTGGATCAACCAAAATACCATCTTGGTTGATGATGTGCCCCAAAAATTGCACCTCTCGCAACCAAAAATACACTTTGAGAACTTGGAATAAATCCTTTCCGTTCTTAGTGTCTCCTATACCTCCCTCAGATGCTGATCGTGCTGCTCCTTGGTCTTAGAATAGACCAGGATATCATCAATGAAAACGATCACCGACCGATCCAACATCGGTCTACACACCCTGTTCATGAGATCCATGAACGTTGTTGGGGCATTGGTGATCCCGAATGGCATCACCACAAATTCATAGTGCCCGTATAGAGTCCTGAAAGCTGTCTTTGGTATATCCTCATCCCGAATCCTCATCTGATGGTACCCCAACCGAAGATCAATCTTGGAAAACCAAGACGCACCCTGCAGTTGATCGAACAAATCATCGATCCTTAGAAGCGGATAACGATTTTTTAACTGTTAGCTTGTTCAGCTCTCGATAATCTATACACATCATGAGTGACTCGTCCTTCTTTTTTTATGAACATGATCGGTGCTCCCCACAGGGAACTGCTCGGACGGATAAAACCTCGGTCTAGTAGCTCCTGAAGCTGCGTAGATAGCTCCTGCATCACGGGCAGAGCTAGCCGGTACGATGCCTTGCTCGGAGCGGCACCCGACACCAAATCAATGTGAAACTCCACTTGCCTCTCCGGAGGCACTCCAGGTAACTCCTCAGGGAAGACATCCCGAAAATCTCGTACAACTGGCACACTTCCCAAATCTGTCGAGGCCTTAACCCTCGTATCAGAGATATATGCCAAAAATCCCGAACAACCCTGCTGCAGAAGTCTCCTGGCCCTCGCAACTGAACAGAGGGCTGGCCCTTGCAAGGCCCTCTCTCCATGAATAACCAGTTCTCCCCCACACTTGGGGTTTGAACCCTCACCAGCTGGCGCTCGCAATCGATCATGGCCCTATTGGCCCCCAACAAGTCCATCTCGACGATCACCTTCAGCCCTCGCAACGGTATCAGAACTAGATCAACACGAAACGTCTCCCCAAGCACATTCAGGACAAAGTCCCGATACACCCTCGCAGCACTCACAGTGCGGTCATCCACAATCTCAACCTCAAGCAGGGACTCCAAGGTCCCCGGCGCATCCCAGAACTTCTTGCTAAGCGCAAGAGATACAAACGATCGGGTAGCACCCGAGTCAAATAGGACGTGATCCGACATACCATTGAACAAAAAGGTCCCTATACATAAACATACACACACACACACATATATATATATATATATATATATATATATATATATATATATACATACATACATACATACATACATAAACAATACAAATCAATATCAAGAAGGAAAGATAAGACACGTACCAACCACGACGTCTGGCGCAGCCCGAGCCTCCTCGGTAGTCAATTGAAACGCGCAACTCTTCATTGTTGGAGCATCCGCCTTAGCAGGGCGGCCATCAGTGATCCTCAATGTGGCGGGCGCATGCACCGCCACTACTCCTCCCCCTCCCTGCAACCTCGGACAATCGACCCGTTTGTGGCCGGTCTGGTTGCAGTGGAAACAAATCAAGCCCTTCTTGGGGAAATCCCTACTCACGTGGCCTGGCTGGCCACACGTATAACATACCGCGCCCGTCCCTCAGCAATCCTCACCATGAGATTTCCCACACTTGGCACACCGTCCACAACCCTGCTGTCCCCTACTAGAAGAATGAGAGGTCTTAGGCTTTTTAGCCTGACCTACTGCTGTCTGTGCCTGCTTTGGTTTCCGCTTGGTGCGGAACTCCAACTCCATCTCCCGCTCACGGGCCTTCTCTACCATCTCGTTCAGGGTCTTGCACCCTGTAAATCTCTCAAACTCACAAATATCATCCCTTAGCATGGAATGATACCTCGTCCTCCTCATATCCTCATCTGCAACATACTGCGGGATCGATAGTGCTCGTTCCCGAAACTTGGCGGTGATCTCCGCCACAGTCTCGATGGTCTGCTGAAGCTCATGAAACTCCCTCACTATCCGTTTCACCTCAATAGGTGGTGCAAACTCCAAATAAAAATTGTCTGAAAAACTCGACCCATGTCATCTCTGCCACACTGGCTGCCCCCACCTGGCTAGTCACCTCTCCCCACTAGTCCCGGGCTCGATCCCTCAGCATACATGAAGCAAACCCCACATTTTCCGCATCAGGGCAAGAACTCGTGTGCTGGGTGTTCTCTATGTCTGCCACCCAGCTTCGGCTAACTATGGGGTCCCTGATCCCAAAGAACTCCGACGCCCCGTCCGCCTTGAACTCCCAGAACGAGGGGGTTTGGGCCTTTATATAGGGTATGTTGCTATATTAAAAATGCATCAGAAAATTGATTTTTCAGATAATTGACCATTGGTTTGACCCTTATCCATATATCCGTTTTATGACAGTTTTTATAGTTTTATGACAGTTTAAAACTGTCATATGACAGTTTTCAGACAAAGATCTTAAAGTTGGTTTTTGGTCTCATTTCTGGTACATACGAAAATAACATCAAACATTCTTTGTTCTTGTCTCTCTGAGTCTTATCCGATTAAAGATTGGGAGTACCACCCAAATACTTTAATCTGAAAGTGAAACCACAATTCTCAGAATTTCCAAGGCTATTTTATCTCGATTTACTTACACTTTCAATCTAGACATTTAAACACAAATATTGAAATTAGGGAGTCCAGGACATAAGTAATGGAGATTATACATAACAGTGACAGTTATGGATTTTACCATTTTATATCTACATTGTGCTTTTGTAGCTTGATATTGTTGATGAATATGCCATTAAGAAAAAAAAAAAGAACGGTTGATTATGATTTACATAACAAGCCTCCTCTATAAAGCGAGTTGGTATAAAGCATTTGCAAGTAAAGGTAATCACAAACAATTTGTCAGGTTAACGACATACATTTATGAAATGCTCTATTTCCCATCCCGATAGTCTCACATAAAGTTAATGTGAGTTTTTATTTGTGTATACCAACCTTAAAGTTGTCTAACCACTTTTACGTACGAAACATTGTTTTTAATTGGTGCATACACTTTTAACCTTTACAATAACTACTAACGAACATATGGCTCAACAATCTATTTTTCGTACATATTTCTTGATCGATTTATGGTTGTAGAAAACTGTTTTTTATTTTCTTGTAAGAAAAAAGTGATCCCCAATTTCGTAAATTTTTTCTCTATTGTTGTGGTCATTTGTGATAGACTATGAAAATTTGATCTTGCGAATTCATAAACTTTTTCTCGCGATAGTTGTGGTTATGTGTGGTAGGCTATGAAGATTATGAAAATATGGTTATCTTGATATTCTTGGCTTCTAAATATGATTTTTTTTAGTGAACAGCTCAACTCTTAATTTTTTTAAACTCTATTATATGGAAAAATTAAACATTTAGTTTAAATAAAATAGATTAAAAGGTGGTCAAAATTAAATTTAAAAGCTTACATCTTAAATCACATTATTACAAAATTGGATTACTACAACACATAGTAGTTATATGGTAATCATATTTTTCTAATGGCAATTGGCAAGTATGTGGGATTTAAACACTTAAACTTCATTTTAGACTGTTTCATACCAAATGATCACCGGTAAGCCATCTTGAATCTTGACTATAGTAGTTATGGTAACTTCATAATATAAGAATTACTGCTTGTTAACTAAAATAAAAATCTAACATGTCTTTACCCGAATTGGTCATTAAAGTTATTATTATTATTATTTATTTTTTTGCACAATATGTCATTAAACTTGTAAAAACAATGTCACTTAAGTCATTATTGAAAATATAAAAAAGTCATACGGTGACTATGCTTATGTGGCAATAAATTTGACCATGTGTGTTTAGCCACTTAGAAATTTGACATTGAAGAAAGTCAACCAAAACCCATGAACACTAAGCTTCACTATGCTTCACTATGAACACTTCCGAACTACACTTGGTGTGGCTTCGAAGAAAATGAATCCTCAGAACCCCACCCACCCCCTTCTTCAATTCATCCACCTCGAGAGAAAACAAGATCTCAAGTCCGAAATCAAAAATCGCAAATAAAACCTAAATAAAAAATCACAAACAAATTGATGAAGAAGAAGAAGAGGCAGCATTTACAACCAACTAGTCAATAATTTCAAGTTTTCAACATATATTCCTAATTTAACAACATCATCACATCAGTGATATATAAGCATCAAAAGATTACTATTTTCAATCCATCGATAGCTTGATCAATTGATAATGAGGCTCTCTTTTGTGAAATAGATCACAGTGTAACTTCAATCTGTCCAATTGATTATGCTGCAGTGTCATTTTCCCTTTATATCTCTATAAAACATATGGATAACAGTGTACACATCCTAAAAGAAAGAGCAAACAATGGCATAACCTCTATCCAAATCGTAAAGGCCAACTTGCCAAATCCGTTCATTGTAATGAAGTTCTTACAGATCCAAATCTTTTCGTCTTCTTCTTCTTCCCTGTAAGAAAATCATCACCAAACAACTCAGATATCTTTTTCTTTCTATCTGAACCAATGAAAGCCATCAACTCTTCTGCACTCATTTCTCTAAATTCTTCACTAATTTCTTGTCTTGCTACATTCAATCTCTCCACACATCCATGAACAGATTCCTTCACTTGTGGAATCTCACACAACTGTTGTTTTTGGACTTGCATTAACAGAAAACTCAAATCTCTAAGCTTCTTTAAGTCGAAATTGTTGGCTAAAGATTCATGTCCGATAAAAGATGCCCTTTGGATAGCCATCTCCTTCAGGCTGACAAGTAGATCCAACTCGGATTCTGAGAGGGAACATAGCCAACGGACATCTTCAATCCGATTGTCTCCTAACATCTCCATCTCCTAACAAATGCAAATTAGACAATAAACTCTGAACTTTGACGCAAAGTGATGTGAAAATTGAAAACCAAGCACATATGAAACTAATAATTAAACAAAATGACAATTTTTACCAAAATTTAAGAAAACACATTTGAAGCAATGGTTAAAGAGACACCCTAATCGACCAAACTATAACTTTCTAACGACAACAAATTAATTTAAAATAACAGAATGACCATACGTCCATACTATACTTTACAAGCTGAAATTTCAAAACAGACCCTAAATTATCCAACTGTATCTTTCAGACCACAAATTGCCAACAAAAGAATGTGCAGTAATCAGAGATTCAGAATCCAGAAATCAGAAAATGTATAGACATTCAGTAATCACACCAGATCAGAAAATTACCTGTCAGTACTCCTCGTCCAGTCGGCTTCCTCTTTTTCAGAAATTAGTAATCACATGAAATCAGAAATGATCAAAAGAACCAGATATTAGTCTTTCTAGGTTTCCAGCGTCCTAGGGCGTGGATGCGTGATTGTCGATCAAAAAACTCAGAAATCAGACTTAGACTTGAGATAAAAAATTCAGTAACCACAAGGAATCAGAAATACAGGCTCCAATCGATTTGTGAATCGTGATTGACTGCTGCAAATCAGATACAAGGGTTGCAAGAAATCAGAAATACAGGCTCCAATCGAAGAACGGCGGAATTCGGGGCGTGAGCGATTGAGCGTCATCAGTGGACTCTTGTTTAGGCATAGGAATTAGGCGCCTTTGTTTTGTTCACTTTCGAATTGCCGTTAGGCCCTTCAGCCCAAAGCAACTGGATCAAAATTTGGGCCTAACTAATAAAATACATATATGTATCTGCAATTTGTCTTTTTGTTTTACAACTGGTAGTATGTAACGAAAAGTTAAGCTTAATTGATCTAAAATGTATTAGCATTTGGAATCCCTCAAATATTTTATCGTTAAAGAATATATCAATACTTTGAAAAAAAAATGGTTTATATACTCTATATGAAACTTACACACATAATAAACTCACCAAAAAAACATATCATCATTTATTATGAGATCTCATTTATTATATAGTTAAAAATTACAAACTAGGGCTAAAAAAAATCAAAAAAAAAAAAAAAACATAACACACGCACACTACACAAGTCACAAAACACTCTCCACACAAACCAACCTATAAATCTACGTTATCACTACTTAGAACTTTCTAGTTTTTACCATTACAAAAAGTAGCAACTATGTTACCTATCATTTTAAGGTTAATTAGTTAATATCCATTAAGCTTAAAAGGGTATCATCAATCAAATCCTCCAATATCCATTCTTCGGTTTCCATAACTATTTCCCTAGTCCCCAACCAAAGATCCATCCACATTCTCGATATGTCCATGTCATTACTTATAAGTTGATCCAACGACCGAAGATAAACACAGTTGAGACATGACTCGATTCTTTTCCATACCTCATTTATCAATTCCATTCCCTTCGGAATCAGATACATATTTGTTTTGAAAAACGGTAACTCGGGAAACAAACCCAAGGATTGATCACATATTTCCTTGAGAATTTCGTTAGTGGAATCGAATAGGAGCCGTTGATCGCAAACGGGTTGACTCGAAAAGATTTGTAGTTCTTCGTATAATGATTGATCCAATATTTGAGCATTAGAAATCCATCTTTTTTCAAACTCATCCCAATTGAGATCCGATGCTAAAAGAACCGTTTCTATGTATTCGAATGCAGATTCCTCGTTTTCAACAAGAGTATGGATAGATGTTTCTTGATTTTCGGTTGGTGTAATGGGATCTTCAAATCGGATACGTAGTGGTGTAATTGAAGTTTCGCCTGGAAAATGTGAATAAAATTGAGTTAGCATGAAACAGGGTGTACTGTATTTGATATGCATTAGACTGAGACAGTCTAACAGATGTCAATAGGACAAAAACTGTAATTTTTTTTTACCAAATCGAGAAATGGTTCTGGCCGGGCTAATATCGTCATCTGAGAACAATGGCTCGAGAACCGATACGGGACTAGGTTTCTCGGTTCTATCATCTAAGGTACCCTCATCTTTTTCTGTTTTTCTATTGGATGTTATTGGATAACAACATAACTCGTCTTCTTCGGTCAAATTCTGTAAACCAAATAAAAATTATTATGAAAAACAAAGCCGAATTAAATAAGAAATCTAATAGTTTTAGATGTTTTCATTACCGATGCATCATAAACTTCGGATTCTTCTGGCGAATGTGGTTTTATGGTTCCTATAACATCTGCAATATTCGAGTTATCGAGAATCAACAATGTAAATCAAGTAATTAATGTATGTCATAACAATATTGTCGTTCAGACGATCAGAAATTATGAAAACAGTACCTTCAGCCTCATGAACTTCATCTGAAACTTCAAGTTCTTGATGATCGTCATATGTTACCGAAGGTTGACTTTCATTGACCTCATGCTCTGGTTCGTCTTTATGATCGATAACTGCAGAAGAAGAGTCGTAATCTGGAAAAGATAGAAGCTTTCCTAGGGTTCTAGGATGCCTTGCCACCATCAAATCTGTACATTCATCTCCATTACTCAACATCTCCGATAGATGTTTCTTTGCCTCAACGTAGATGTTAGAAATTCTTTCGCTCGTGTTTCCAAATCCCTCGTTTTCCCTCGATTTTGTTTCGTATTTGAATGATCTTTGAAAGTACTCCATCTTGAATCTTAAACCCGTTAGACATTGTCGAAAATCTTTCAGAGTAGAAATGGTCTCTTAGCGGCGAACTCCGTCCACTCCTTCTTCCATCAACAACAACTGGTTTTTCTCCGAAATCCCTTTTTGATCTTCCAATGGCGTTCTTTAGTTTTTTTCTTGATTTCCGAGAACGAAAATTGGGAAACACTTCTTTCGTTATGAAACCCATTGGTCGTGCTTGAAGGTAGAAGAGAGCTGTCGTTTTCGAAGGATATACATTCGTGAGACTTGCTTCTTCTTCTGAAGAAGTTCCGGTGTTTACGGGAAACGACGTCGTTTGAGCTTGGATTGCTTCGTTCATTCTGTAACGAGTTTGATCTTTCGAGTGATTTTGGGTTTTGTAATTCTTCGTTTTTCTTCTGATGGATCAACAAGAGCTCGTTCATTAGATCTTCAAAGTGACAATATTGAGATGGAACTGGTTGATCTTTAGAAATTTGACGATAATCCATAGACTCGTGGCTCTCTTCGCATTCTAAAACGCCATGCGTATGCGTTTCTTCTTCTTCCATGAGTTCCTTCACAGCCGTTTTAGCTTTCTGATCAACGTTCTGAGATTCAATCCAAAGATGCATCATCTCTTCTGAATCCGTAATTGAGTTCACGTCGGAATTAGGATACGAAGTACCTGTATACATATCCCCACATTAGTTAATTATCGTCTATATATATGAATGAATGATTTTTCAAAAGATATTTGAGAAAATGCTTACCGATGGTACTTTCAGTAATGTGTGTAGCATGATCTGAAAGCAGTTGTCTGGTAATCCGGCCATGGCGGAAAGCAAAAATGCTTACAATACCCGACATACAACCTGACCGATCTTTATTTTTCTGAGCAAGTTTTGATCTTTTTGCCATAAGAAAATTGGAGTTTTTAAACCTCATCATCATCAACCTCTCTTCAGAAAATTAACAGCCTGATAATTAAGCAAGAATTAAATTATATTAATTGAATAAAATTAAAATTTTCAATTTTTTTAAGAAAGGACAATATTTTGCATGTGTGACTTGTTAGTATCCAATGTGACAATGTAAGATGAAGTCAGATGTCCAGATGAACAATTCTCAATTCTGAAAATCATGCAATCAGCATTTTATTGCCTACCGATTTAGGTATCTATTTCCAAGAAAAATTCCAGAATACAAAATATTACTATTTAAAGTATATTGTACATCATGTACTTAAAGTTGTACATTGAACAGATTCATCAGTTTCTTTATGTAAAACAATACCTGAAATCAAAGCGATAGAATAAGACAAATAAAATAAGAAAAGAAATATAATTTTACAAAATTCAAGGATGATGACAAGAAAAAAAAAATACCTGAAATCAAAGCCCTTTGATGATATCAACAAGAACAACTTAGTAGCTGACAAATATTTTCTAAAGAAAGTCAAAAATATGTTCCAATTTTGACTTTTCTGCTCTCAAGGTGTCTAACCGAGTAAAGTTTCAAACTTTTTTTTTTCTCTTTTGATCTAATGAGATTTGCAATTCAGTTGTTTGAAGAATGTGCTCATTAGCATTGAAGACTTTGTGAACTCTAAAAGTCTAATTTTCAACCAAAAAGAAAATTGACACCTTGATGAAGAGACTAAACACAACTTTTTACAAAAATTTGCGGAGATTAAATCTTAGCTATCAATGTGGATATCTCTACTTTGTAATCTTTTTGCTCAAAAACGGATACCCAGATGAAATTTTCTGCAAAATTGTTATCATCTAGAGAAAACCCTAAAGACTTTTCTTCAAAGAAACTGTCGCAAAGACAGAAGTTTTATGGTTGAAGGCTTGAAGCATAAGCTTAATTATGAATACAAAAGAATAGATAAAAAGAAAAAGAAAAAGAAGAAAAGATGAAAAAAAGGTTATCCTAAATCGACCAAAGAGAGAGAGAGAGAGAGAGAGAGAGAGAGAGGGGGGGGGGTATGGATTAAACACCACCACACTTATTATATTGAGGAAAATAGGAAGGTTTAGTGTATGGCAGCCATTTAAGATAGTGAAATTCAGCAATGGTGGTGGTGGGCGGCGGCGGAGGAGGAGAAGGAATATTAGGGAAATAGGAGCCGGAGAGGGTAACTACAAAGGGTAAGGTCTGAATATGAGCTTTTGTGTGTATGCAAAGATGGTGATGAAAATGGGAGAGGAAAGTCGACACCTGGGTATTGGATTTCTTGATGTGGTGGGGCCATGAAAGTTGAAAACATCATATACATAAACACAAATACACTAGGAAACACACACTGTTTTTGAAAAAGAAAGAGGAAAAGAGGAAACTTTGGAATAAAGTTTACAATGTTTATTTTAGGTGGTTGTATTTGCAGGTATCCATGTTCAATCATCATCAGTTTCACCACCACCACCCCACTCACCATCCATCTCATTGACACATGACATCCACCATATACTCTCTTGTCTCTACTATTAAACAATTTTTTTCATTTAATTACATTATTTACTTTGTTTATCTTATGGCTTATTATTATTAAATTCTTGTAGGAATAGATAGATAATCAACGTGTTTTGTAAATAGCTATTAATTGTTAGTTGGAAACAAAAAAAGTGGAAGCTATAGTTTTGATTTGTATAAAAGTTTTCGGAAAAAGTAGTTGTTAGCTTTTAAAGATGATGTAAAATTAGTTAAAAACCAAAGTTGAAAGCTCCAAAAAGCTACTTCAATTTGGATTCAAAGATTTTTGTTTAAAATAAAAGCTAAAAGTTTCTACCGTCGAACAAGACTTCTTTTCCCGAATGTTTGCAGCTAACTAAAAAAACCCCTCAAAAACTCCATGTTTAATTTTAACACCCCTAATGTCTACAATGATAAGTTATATAAACAAGATTTTTTTTATTTGGATTAAATAAACCGACTCATATCATGATATCATATGTGTGTATCGGTGTATATGACCGGTTTATCATTTTCTTTAAAAGTGATTCCGAATAACAGATTAAGAAAAGTATTGTTGGTTGAATTGTAAAAGAGAAACAAAGAAATATAAAAATCATAAAGGAAAGAAACAATAAAATAATCATACGAGTTTCTAACCATTTAAGAAAGAAGTTTTGTGTGTTATCTCGGTCAAAGAAAATTGTGATACCAAAGAAATAAGCAGCAGTAATGCCCACTAACGTAGAAAATTGTGATACCATTGGAAAACTAGAGAATGGTGTTTGTTGAGGTAAAGGGCATTAATGTAAAAAGGAGGGTTGAATGGATAAACCCATATTCCTTCCATTCAACACGTTTACGTTTAGGACTTTATGTTTGTATTGAATAAAAAACATAACATTCTTATATCTGTCCATGTTAAGTTATGTCTTCATTAAATCGATTAAGCAAAGAAAAGATAGACTAAAACGTAGTTATTGATTCCATGTAGTTTAACAAAATCATTCAAATACTTAAAATGTCTTTTAATAAGATTTAATTTTTAAAACTTGTGATGCAAACGTAATATATAAAAAATAAGGAATAATAATACTATTGAATAAAAAATATATAAACAAGATAAAAATATTATTAAATAAAGAAATATCATCAACAACCCAATTATGTAGATATACGTCGACAACAACAGGTCATGGTCATATATATGAGCACTTGTTGGCGTATAAGAGAGTAAGAGACTTCAAATAGCCATCGATGGAAGCCTAATGGTTGATGAGTGCAATTCCACGTAGAAGGTCCAATATTGCTAGTGTTTTGCGATTATCCTCTCACGTGGGGTCTAAGACAGGTTGATGTGACCGGTCAAATGACACAATTTACCATTTTTTTAAGAGATTATAAATAATTAATTACCGATTCTAAGGCTCTAGAAAGAAATATGTACTGTCAAATTTTTCCACAACCAATTTTAAAGTTGTTCTTCCACCATCCAAAAATGTTTTTTCTTTCGGATTAGAAAGCTTTAACACAATTTTCTCCCTAATACTTTTTTCAACAACCTACTCTTGACATAATCGTCCCTAACACCCTTGGACCATTTTGTCCATTTGTTATTTTATTTTCATTAGTATTATTGTTATTTTTAATCGTTGATGGTCGTTCATAACAGTGGCCGTTTTTTCCAGATGAAACCCGCGACGATGATTCCTACCTGTGGTGATTAGTTGGCGGGACCATATCTGCAAAAAATAGGAGCAAGAGGATGACTTTGAGACAAAACAAAAACTTAAAGGTAAATTTACAATTATAACATATTGACAAAATTTCTAATTAATTACTTTTATTTCTATTATATTTATACCGTAGAACTAGAAAAAAGAAAACTCACTGCTTTTCCACCCCTTCACCCACCAAAAAAAAAGTCATCTTTTTTTTTTCTTCTCTTAGAAGGGCCATTGCATTTCTCAAAATAAAAAGAGTGGTCCACCAAAAATCTATATGACCTATTAGATTTAGTTAAAAACAAGAATCCGTTGAAGTTTGGTTAAATACTAAGATTGTTTTTGAAAGAAAATAAATTAAGCTAAACGGACCAAGAAACCAGTTTTTGGTAAAGCTATGCAATGTTTGTATCAGGTCACCCTTAACATTTTAAAGGGTGGTCATTTTGGGGGTGACTACTTGGATCATACTTGTCGGACTGAGCTGAAACTGGTTTTAAATAAATTCTTGGACCGTGGACCAGACCTAGTGACACATACCAGTTTTGGTTTTTCGACGACCTGTAACGTTTAACGTTTGAGGCCGGCGATCAAGTGCTACTTAAAGTCGCTCCATGGAAGGGACTTATCAGATTCGGAAAATATAGGAAGTTAAGTTCTCGTTTTATTGGTTCATTCAAGGTACTTCAGAAGATTGAAAAACAAGCTTACAAGCTTGAATTGCCACCTGAACTAGAAAATATTCACAACATCTTTCATGTTTGCTATTTGAGGAAGTACTTGGGAGAAGAACCTGATATGAATCCACCTTCGGAATCAAGGATCGATGAGAATAAAAGATTGATAGAAGAGGCCGAAGAAATCGTTGACCGCAAGAGGAACAAATTACGACATAAGATGATTGACTTAGATGTTTTTTTTTTCTGAGACAAAATGTCTGCAGTCTGCGAACCATATCTGCAAACTTCTGCAGTAGAAGATGTGGACCAAACGTCTGCAGTCTAAAAGAAGACAACTTTTATTTTTTAACATCTGCAGGGTGTTAGAATAAACTAAAATCTTAAACTAATTTTTTTTTAAAAAAACTTAAAAAGATTTTTTTTTCTGATAATTTTATAACTTTATTATAGATAATTAACAAATGTAGATTAACTTTTATGCATTATTGTATAAAAAGTGAAAACAAAATGGTAAAAATTATTTTATATATTTGATAAAAACCAACAAACTTTGGTTGTAAAGTTATCTCTAAACATTGTAATTAGGGATAAAAGAATTTAACACATAACAGAATGAAAATAAACTTTGATTTTAAATGAAAATTTTCAAAGTTTTTATTTCACCTTTTCAATTAAATCAATTAAAAACTGACCATAAATATTTTTCCCAAGAAATAAACGATGTTGCATTAAATAATGTTTTATAAAATTTGACAAAAAAAAATATAAAACAACATTATGATTTGTTTTCATATCTATATAAACAGCTCCACCAATTATTATTGTAATTAAATATTTATTTATAAATTTGTCACAAAGGTCATGATTGTGTTATCAAACCTTTTTTTTCTTTAAGTATTGTAACTTTTTTTTCCAATTTATTTATCATAGATAAAGTTTGAATAAATCTAAGTTTAAAAAAACAAAAAAACAAAAACAAAACAAAAAAACAAAAAAAACAAAAAATCAAAAGTATGTGTTTTTTAGGTTAGAAGATGTCTGAAGAGGTTTGAAGTATCTGATCCACATTTGCGCCAAGAATAGGACGCGCAGACTTTTTTAGGTCTGCAGTCTTCAAAAAAAAAAACAAACAACAGTTTTCGAAAAAACAAACAGTCTGCGAAGCCTCATGTCTGCCCGTGGTCTGCGCCGCACAGACAAAAGAGACCAAGAAGATCTACATACAAAAAACAAACAACAAACAACACCTTAGTGGTTGTGCGATAAAAACATCCGATAGAACCAAACCTCACATGGGAGACAGAAAGCAACATGAAGAGTAGTTATCCACATCTGTTTGAGGATGCATAATTCCAGGGCGGAATCATCCTAAATGGGAGATAATTGTAATGCCCGTGTTTATCGCTAAGCATAATTAAGAATCTATAAGTATGTCTTTCGACTATTGGAATCTTCTATGAATAAATATAAGTAAATTATTTA